TGCCCCATAAATTGTTCAAATGCACATGACTCTTCCTTCTGTAGGCCTCTTTTCAAAGCTTTTGTTTAACCAATCCAAAAAATTAGCTGCAAGCTGAAAAAAATAAAATAACTGAAGATAATTTTACTATTTTTAAGCCACTGGGGTGTTGGACTGGACTGCAACCACCAAGTTTGTCTAAACATCAAAAGAAAATAATGTTTTATGTTGTCATTTCACTTTATACACAAATTCATAGCATATGCGAGATACAGCAACAACCACTAGGAGTCTTCTGATTAAGGGTTTGTGGGCATATCTACACGTGCAATTAATGCATCTGAATCTTCTGAGAGGAAAATTCAGGCTCATTAAAGCACTCTTCAGTGCACATCTACATATGCGTCCCCACTGGGAGCAAACTGAGCTTGACAGTCGTAGGCCCTGTCTTTTGTCCCACAGTCTCCATCGCCCCCAGCAGCCAGGAGGAGCTCCAGGCTGGTAGCGAGAGCTCGGGGCTAAGCCCCCATGCCGTCTCAGCTGGGGAAAGATTAGGCTGGCCCTGACCTAAGCGGGGCAGGGGTGGAAGCTGTCCCAGCTGGCAGCCACGTGGAGATTGGGACTGATCCAATGCAAAATAAAGTGTCTTGTGTAGATGCACCCTGTGAATGGTTTTGTTATGAGTTAGGATTCCCAACTGCATTAAAAAAAAACCAAACAAACTAACTAACTTTACAAGTTAGATTTTACCAAATCAATTGGCACTGCACCAGGGGCAGCATATAGCTGCACTGCCCATGTTGACAGCTTGAAAGCCACTCTTAGTCCCTAGTTTCCCCATTGCTCCAAGGGAGAAGTAAGCTGTGCTAAACCTTGGCCAAGCAGTGTTCTGGCTGATAGCATAAAAGAGGGAAGTAAAGCTGTTGCCTAAGGTTGGATCCAAGCTAACACTTGGTACATGTGGGCTTACCTTCCCCACCCCCCCAAAAAAAAATAATCAAAAACAACTTCTGTATTTGGTGGTGGTAATGAGAAACTGTTCGTTTGTTATTTTTCATGTATTTATCAAATTTTGCAAAAGCTTCTTATAAAAACTGGGAGCTTGGAGATTTTACCAACTGCTGTGCATTCATGTAAATTAAAAAAACCCCCACCAAAAAACAACAAAACACAAACAACATGCCCTGAAATATCACAGGCCACAAATAAAGTATTCAGCTATTTACAGTGATACTGCAGAAGCTCTGTAAGATTACATTTTTTAAAAATTAAGGAACTAAAGTGGTTAGATGCAAGTGAAAACTCTTTTTTCTTCCAAGTCAACTGAGCGTAATGAAGGTGCCAGACTCAGTGTCATCGAGTCCAAAACATTCACAAAACATGAATCACAAGGGGAAAAAAAAAGGACTGCCACAGAGAATCAGATCTGATGTCCATGAAGTTCAGCATCCTGTCAGTGGCAATAGTCAAATCCTTCAAAGGGTGGTGCATGAAAGTAACAGCAGATGGATGTGAGGTGAACTGCCACCCACAAATCGGTCTTATCCTAGTCTCTAATAGTTAAAAAAAAAAATGATATCTTTTCTACATTTTTTCTATCATCAATTATAATACTGGTTATTCTCATTATCCACAAAAATATCCAATTACTTTAGGGCCCCAGAAACTTTCTATAGCAATATGTTGTGTGAAAAACATATTTAGTAGTTTTGAATTTCTTATCTCCGTTTAGTTGAATGTCCCCTTAGTTCTATATTATGAAAACAGGGAAACTCCCTGATACACATTCTCAAGGATATTAATTGTTATGTATATTCTTTCCATGGCCACCTCTTATTTGTCTTCTTTTTCACGTAAGAAATTCCAATCTTTACATTCCTGCTTTCTGCCTCTTCTTGAGTGATGTACACATGATCACATATTTAAAACAATATATTGAGACCTTGTTTTCCTAGTTGTTGGAGATTCATGTTTTCAAACTTTTCTATGCAACAATAAGGACTAGAAACAAAAGCTGAGACTTGTAGTGAAAGCTGATATAATCAGCAACATCATCACCAGACTCCAGGTACTTGGACTATACAAGCATCTCCATAGTTGTCAACTTTAAATATCATTAGAAACAGAAGAGTTATTTTAAGAATATGTGCAGCATAAGCAATTATAGTACAAGCTGCTTCCCACTGCCATTTGGCCAGGATAGGTCACTTATTTTTGAAAGCCTACCTCTTAGCCTTTGAGGATAAAGGGTTTCCACGTCCTGAGAACTGATGCCAAGGTTGTGGGCTAGTCCCAATCATTTTGGCAACACTGCATTTTGTAAAGACACTGACACATTATACAGCCTAATGCTTATGTGGCAGCTGTACTGACTCAAAGTTCATCGTTGGAATAGAAAGGATCTTACTGACGGACTTGTTTTTTTCCTGGAAGGTTTGAAAGATATGCTGGGCTGTCCCAAGCACTTCAGGGAAGGATCTTAACCACAAAGCTAAGTGAAATTATAGCACACAATGTTAGTACATATATGTCAACTACACATAATACTCTACAACAACTAAAAGCAAACACTGCTGGAATAAATCTGTGTGTTGCCCTACATTGCTAATGATGACTTTTGAGTCTCAGTCATTTAAAAAGTGAGAACTGTTAAAAATATACAGGAATGTGCCTAAAAACAAAATAGAATATCCCGCCCCCCCGGCTTTTTCCATTCTCTCTCAATGCAGAAATGATTAGACTATTTTACCTCACATTTCTATAATACTTAACATGAAGTTAAGAGATTCTATTATGGGAAAAGATCAAGGATCAATCCTACAAAAATGAATTTTTTAAATTCATATACATGTATGTGCCCCATTTATACATGTGCGTAAAAGTTAAGTATGTGCATAAGTACCTGCAAGACTAAAATCCAAATATGGACATTCCTCAATACAAAAAGTGATTGTTTCTTAAATATATGAAAATTGAAAACCGTGGACTGAAATAAAAAATGATTTGCAATTCATTGCAACGTATCTAGAGCATATTTTACAGCTATATAGGTACCGTGTGTCTGGGCCTTGTAATATTTCTTCGCATCTATAATTATTCCGGGATTTCAAGTGAACCATGCCATTAACATTCATAAGTGAACACTCATGTCGGTCTACAATATACATCTATACCAAGAAAGAATATCACTCATGAATACTATAGCCATCACAATCCCATTCCAGTACATTGCGTGTACCACTTCATCATGCACTCTCTCTCTCTCTCTGAGCTTGTGATGGTTCCCCAAGTCTCAGACCATCAGTGAGTTACACCAGTCATTCCAAATGCATGCTGATAAAAATCTTGATAAGGAATGGGAGCATAAGGAATTCTGTATATGCCAAACATTTTATAGAAAAAGGCTTACAAAAATGATAGAGTTGTACAAAACATGCATAATACTATTTTTGGTACTGGAAGCCAGACATTTTTAATACCTCGAGTCTAACTGTGTAGACTTGGAACAGAAACAATTAATTGACTTTAATAATCTCAAAAAATTACCAGAAACAATTTCCCTATATATAAATATATGTACTGTATCTACCTGGACAGGATGTAAGAGAGACCCACAGTTGCATTTATTTAAAAATAGTGGCAGTCTGAATCTGCTCGTAGGTTTAGAGCATCAGGAGCGGTGTCAATAGAGATGGATTAGTGAGGTAAGTGCAAATAGTGCAGTTAAAGGGCACAATGAATATAATTTATTCATGCAGCCACACAATTTATCACGTGACTCTTACCACAACACATGTGGGAAGTATTTGTGTTCCCACATGACAACCCAAATGATATCTGTGGTTGGACCCAAGCTCCTTATAGAGCATTAAAGGTTGAAAGCAATGCCACAATACATTAAAAAGTTAATTTCCCCAGAGTGTCATAGAGTACTAGTGATTTACATATCAGCAAACAAATGTATTTTGTAGAGTATACTAATTTACAATAAACTAACTTAACAGAAATGCATTGTTTTTCCAAAACCATCAGCTAAAATTATATGAATTCTATTGCCCTACTGATATAATCAGATAATAAAATATATCATATTTGAAGTTATAGATACACATACACAGACAACGCATACTTCAAGCCCAATTTGAATTTTCTGTATTCTGGAAGGAGAAAGTTCTCTACAAGTTAAAAATTTCCTCTATAACTAATAATATCATGCCCTGAGCCAGCAAACAAATAAATAACTTTTCCTCACGTAACATATACTGCCTTGACACAAATTCTGCCTAACTTTTCACAACTGGTTCAAATATTTACCATGCCCAACATTTTCAAAAATGGCCTCTAATTTCCAAAGCCTCAGATTTAGACAGCCCAATTTAAGTTACCTTGGGTCAACTTTTCAAAGTTCTGGGCTCTCGCTTCTGTAAAAATTTTACCTATCCAATGGCATTTCTTTTAAAAGTTCCTATGAATATTTGTTGCTTACAACAGCAAGGCATTAAGCAGCTATGCCTAGCGTTGCGCATGATTTCCTGAACAATCCTATTGATGTACCCTCCCTTACACCTCCTACAGTTCATATATTCAAATCTCTGCTTATTTTGTGTATAGGTTTTTAATTATATGCCATTATGTTCGTTTCATAATGGCAATATACTAGAAACAATTCACCAAACTTACACAAATCCAGACAACCACAGAAACACACATGAAAAGCTGGTATTTCAGGAGACTGACACTAATTTCTTACATAAGTCACTATAAGATTTGCCACTGATTTCAAATGAGACACTAGGTATTAACTGGATTAACCACTTAGTGCCCAGTCTAATATATTTTAGTGAAGAACATGTATTGCTTTGCGATACACCTCAGAATTCTGTTACACTTACAGGTTCACAATAATACAATCCAGATTTTAGGTACAGAAATACCTGAAGTTGAAGTTTTCTGCTTTGCATCTATCACTGAAATTACCCATGAACTACCTAGACATGGAGTATTGAAAAAGTTTACCTTACCATTGCACAGAAAGTTTCAGGAGGATCTCCACATGTTATATCAGGGGGATCCAGGGTCACTTTCACATATTTGATCATATCTCTGGCTTCAGGTTGACAGGCCATGTAATCCCAAACTTTCCCTTCTTCTGTATATATCTGAGTCTTACATACATCATAATGTCCCCACACTGAAGGATAATGTTGCATCACTGAAGATACAGTAACCCAAAGGGCGTGAAGTGACAGGAATCTTGACAAATACATCTCTGAATCCTTTTAAATTGCCTTGGTAATTATAACCAGTGTTGATTTTAGTACAGTCTATGAATTATACATATATATGCATGTATGCCTGTATGTTATAAAACAGGTTCCAAATCAAATGTGAAGTATTAGGATACGGTGCTTGCTTTACTAGGTTGAAGACTTTGGTGGAAGCCTAACATACTCAAATGATAGCCTTTCACAGAAATGTGCAGCTTGTCCTTTGTCTTAAAACATATCTATCAGGGCTTCTTGTGAAAGATGTCCAAAAGCAGATAATATTTTAGCAAAGTTGCAGGTCTTCAGCTGTACTGTCGATAACCCTGAGTGATCCTCCGTGTTCACAGCTCACAAGGGATGCCCAGACACACTGATAAATCAGTATTTGAAGCAAAAGGATGAGTGTCTACAGCCTGGTGTCTGTTTCTCATCAATCATTCTTTTCTTCTGGCACCAACACCCTTTTAGAAACAATAAGAGTAAGAGTTAGTGTCCAAGAATCAATGCATTACAAAATATATGATATGTTGACATTTTGGAAGTTTGATGCAATATAAAGCAAATTGGTGTAATATGGATAACCTTTACCATGGGTTCTGTGCTAAAACGAACAAACTACCAAAATCATTCACAGTGAAAAGTATTTTGACATGAAGGATTCAACTTTTTTCTAACAAAGACAGATTTATAATGTTCCAGGTGAGTTACAGGTTTTTGCTTCAAAAACAGTATTTCTATCTTAACCAAACCTAAGAGCAAACAAAGCTTAATCATTTCTCATATTTTATAAGCAGGTAGATTGGGGTTCCACTTAGGGGAACAGCAGGGTGAATCTTTTATTAGAATGACAGAGATAACAACTACCTGTGTGCTTTTCGTCTCCTGGCAAGAGGACCTCAGAGAGCTCAAAATGCTTTTTGTTTTGTTAGCCTAATAACAGGGATACGATGAACATACTTCTGTCTCTTTGGATTTTCACACTAGTATTGCAAGAGTTTTGATCCTACTGTTTAATTGTTCTTAAGGATAAAACAACACTTGGTTTATCTGGAGCTACGATAAAAAGAGTTTCTCTTTTTAACAGGCCTCCCTGTTTTCTTAATTGCTTTTACATATCTGCTTGGTGCTAAATATCTGTAAAATATATACTCTCCAAAACAAGTTCTTTATATTGTTGTAAAATGTGAAGTGCGTCTTAAATTAGTTAAAAGTATACATTGAAAAATGTAGTAGTAAAAAATACAAGTCACATACAGGCAACTTGCAGAAGCAAAGTGATTTAGTAAACATGCAGAGGCCATCATAATCCTTAAAAAACAAGTTTACAAATTCAGATGTAGGTTTTGTCTAAATTAGTTTGCTTGTTTTTTTCTAATTCTGCAGTCAATCTTCCTGCAAATATAGTTCTTTGGAATCTGATCACTAACTTGAATGGAACTAGGATTAGATCCTTTGTGGAAGGAAGGCTGCAATGAACCCTAAACTAAACAATACCTTAAATTTGTTGCTTAAAAATAAGTGTAAATCATAACATTGTGTGGCTCACTTGATATGTCCAAAGTCTTTGGTATAGGTAGTATCCTTAATTTTCCTATGACGTAAAGTCATGTGATTTTGATAAGCTCTAAAATGTACATCTCATTTCATAAACTATGGGTTTTTTGGTTTTGTTTTTTTCAAAAAAAGCAAGGTCTCCCCAAAGCAATTCACAAACAAGATCATTACATTTAAAGAATGCACCATCATAAACTAAAGTAAACCAAAGACACTAGGAAATGCCAACAGATGGTTGCACTGTGTTTCCATAGCAAAATAATTTACAATAATTACTGTATGGACACTGGTGCTATTTTCCATAATATTCCTTTCATAAAATGTTATCACACAGCTGCAATCTGTGACACAATCTATTAAAACGAACACAGAATTTCCAAATTTCCACATAGTAATAGCAAACAATGTGTCCAAACAGATACAACCTTCATATCTAAATCTGAAACAAAATAAGAAGTCTCAGAGATTTTAAAATATATTTAAAAAAAACAAACAAACCAAATAACAGATCATCAACCATCGTGGCTTTCTAAAAACCTTCCAGTTTACATTGGCAATATTTAAAAATTGCTATTTTGAAATTCATTGATTAAAATATTCAGGAAAGCATTTTTGAAACCCATACCATTTCTATAGTTTCCTCTCATTTTTTTAAATATATATTTTTTTTTTTTTACTGTTTTGGAGGGGGAAAATGCCCCACTGCTTAAAAGGAAAAGTAAACACGCAGAAGTAAAAAAAAAGCTGACCTTCAAGAAAAGCCTTTACATTCATTTCTACAGTAAAAGATGCAAATTTAATTGCATTATTGTGACAAATCAACACATATTCAATATTGTAGGGAGGGGGTGAAATAAACTGCTTTGTGTTCGAGCACTGTTGGAATAACCAGTAAGTGAACACCATATTTCTATACTGAAATAACATGGTACTATGTTTAACCATCTTTGTGATTTAGTCTCTACATTTAGTCACAGGTAGGCTGTTTTACGTTAATGCTTTCTTTACTATCTTTATTTTCATCCCTAATCTGCTGTAACTACTGAGACTTTAATCTGCAAATAAGTGGGACTAGACAGGGATGTAAACAGATGTACTAACCACAATGGAAAATACAGATATTGAAAATAAATGTGAAGTGACCCACTATCTTAACATACTGTGCTACTCCAGTTCCCATATAACGAATTCTCATTAAAGCAAGTCAGAGTCATAATGACGGTCATTACACAGAATTATAGACTATAACATTGATCGAATTTAGTGCACTGACAAGGAAAAAGTGCAGAGGAGTGCAAGATATTTGAGTATTAGGCAGATGTAGAACTATGCGACAGACATTCCTGACAAGAAGCAGCCAATTATAGCTTGAAATTTCTGGCATATAACCAGTTGTGATTAATAGTTTTCCATTACATTACAGACATATTATTAATGTATTAAAAATGTCAGGCTTTGGCAAGAACTAATATGGCATGGCTCAGTTAGTCTGCAATATCTTCTTTTAATGAGCTCCCATTGATACAGAGGAAGATATTGACCAAAGCACATTAAAGATTATATGCTAGGGGTCATCGAAGCTTTTATAATAAAGCCGTGCAATTTGTCTTTATTATGTTTATTCTTGAAGTGTCACTCATGATGGGCATGCTAGTTCTTAGTGGCCTATGCTTAAAGAGATGATATATAAGAATTGATAGTTTATTTTACCATAATTAACTCCGTATGAATTAATTATAAAGCTATTCTCCAAAAATTATTTTAGAAATTTCATTTCTGAACTTTACAAGATTACAAATGGTAGGGCTAAGCTGCAGGTGCATGGTTATCAATATAAACCTTGGTTTGCTTCCTGAATACATTTACATTTGACTCAACACAGTAACATGCACCAGACATAATTGGAATACGTCTCTTGTGCCTGAATCCTCTGCACCTTGCAGTTTTCTGTTCGCTATCTCTGACCATGAATTCTGTTGTATTAAACTGAAGCAATCCATAGGGTCTGACACAGAGACTGACATCTTCACTGATGGAAGGAAAGGTGACTACAAACTGCTGGAAAAATTGATTATGCTAGCTGCATTCAATAACACTCCAGTACACGGTGTACTGGAGCTATCCTTTTGTTGCAAAATCTGTCTTAATTGAAGAATGTTTAGGGCCTTGAATTTTCACCATGTGCCATATTCCCTGCAATTGGAAAAACAGCAGGCAATCCCCAGGCAGCTGTGAAGCAGCAGTGCTGAAGACCACTTTTGTAGTTTCTGCTTCCTTCCAAAGCTTTTCCATGTACATAAAGTGGTGGGCATACAGCATGTGATAAAAACATTATACATCGCTCTATCATTCGCCATAAAAAGGGGTTAGCCCACTAAGGCTGAACTCACACTAAAAGCAGCCTTGCACCCAACTAGCTTTTTCTGGTGGATATGGCATACAGCATTTTAATTACGCACGCTGAAAAAATACCCCTCCCCCACAACTCCAGCCAAAAAGTATATTCCAGCAGAATTAATTATGGTAAAAGAAACTGTCAATTCTTATTAGCTGTGGTAGTAAACACAGCTCCTTGAACTGGCTTGGTCATTGTGAACCTTTCCCTCCTCCTCTGCCTGCTATGATAATATTTTCAGTATAAAAACTGTCACTCTAGAAGCTTTACATTCATTCTGTTGAAGAATTCACTGTACTTGCATTATAGCATTTGTGGCGGGGGTCTTTAATAAAATACTCAGTTAAGCATATAACAAAATAGCAACTAGTGTTCCTCTCACACAGCCCATAATTTTGATAAAATATACACTGTCGCAGCAAATGAATCAGTAAGGTGAAAATCAAAGGTATCTAGTAATATATTCCAGTGACCGTTAGGTGAAGCAATAACATTTAGATGCATAAAGTAACACAGCCAACTGAGGTTTATTTGTTAAGTTGGAATATATACCATATTTCTTATCAAGTTAATTCTATTCTAAATCTGCATCTATATTCAGACAAACTAGATGAGTATTTCCTACAAAACAGATGTAGACATAGTTTTTGACTGCTCTGGTGATCATTTCTAAACTAAAGTACTGATTTAAAAATGAGAGTTGTAGTATTTTATATTGCAACTTGTATATTACTCATATATATTACATAATATAATAAAAAATACACATTTTCCACTTCGCTGGTTCTTAAGCAGCTTGCGCAACTGGTATATATTAAATCTCACATATTAAAATCAATTCACTAGTTTTCATTAATGTGGAATTATTCATCCATGCAAACTAATTATGATCATATGTTGAACAACATATATTTTGCATCAGACCTGGATAAAAAGCAATAGTTACTGAAAAAATTCTAAAGAATTTTCAGAATCAGAAGTTATGCTAGATAAAATTCAAATTCTATTTTCATTTAACTTAACTTAAGTTAACTGTTTACTAGAAAGAAGAAAGATACGGTTTTCTGCGAAGAGGGAGAGAAAAGTAGAATTCCAAGATCTACTGAGAGAAAAACCAAGACAGAATAAGAACAAAAACAGGGTTTCTGAAAGAGCATTTCAGGTTGCTGTCTCTCTTTCTGACCTGTAATATTACATGCAATATAAAACATGAACTTATTACTTCTGTTTTATCATCCACATTGGGCGTGAAATGTGCCTTTTCTTTTAAAGGCTTAATTTCTAAGTCCTGTGAATTCTAAATTCTTCCTAAATGTTAACCATCTCTCATTGGTTAAATTATCTTTCTAGCAATAATTAAATTGTTTTACAACTGTAATGCTCAGTACTCATGCTAACAATTAAAAAAAAGTTCACAAAAATAATACATTCCCAACAGAAAAAAAGTAACACTTGCTCTTGCAAAAAAGTACTCACAGATATTCTGCTGGGTAGAAACAGAAGTCTTCAAATTGTGAAATGAACTGAATACAACTTTCTATAGCTGGCTAAAATTATATTAAAGAACTACCATAAAAAAAAGAAAAGAAAACCCTAAATGACCCTAAAGAAAAACTAATTTGTGCTTTGGAGAAATTCTATACCTATTAGCAGAAACTTGGTGCTACTCCTTATCAAAGTCACAGCAGCACAGGCTGACAAGAAGGATCAAGAGACAGCTAGCTATTACCAGGTATTGAAAAATGCCTGGGAACAAAAACCCTGTAAAGTTTTAGGAAATTAAAAAAAAAAAAAAAATCTGGGCTTTTTTCTGTCTCCAAATAAATTCCAAAACAGAAAGTCTCAGTCAGATTTTCTTCCTCCTGATTGGCTACCCAGGCCACTGTTTCTAATCCCTGGATTGCATTATCCTTGAGGCAAGACGGTAATTTGTTCCCTCTTTAAAAGCATCTGTGCCATTTATTTCATTCACTGCCTCTTTCCACATCTTTGCAACAGAGAGGGGGAATCTATTTAGTGCACAAAATGCATGATTCTGAAATGTAATGTATTCATTAAAGGCCAAAAAAAATTCACACACACAAACTTCAGAACAGACTACTAGAGTAACTGTTCTATTGGACTGAGCTATTCAATACAGTACATCATTTTCTTTTTTGATTAACAGTTTTTCATTTTTCTGAACAATTAAACAAACAGCTTGTTATTTCTTATTGGAAGGAGGGAATCGTTTCCCCTGTTCCCTAAGAGAATGGCCTGATCCTTGGGGACTGTGGGGTTATTCCACACACCCTCAATTCCCTGCTTTTTTGGGCTGCCTTTTTGATCATTTTTCCTGGGGAAAAAAAAAAATCTTTATTCATAGCCTGGAAGCTGTTTGAAGTCAATGACCCCCCTTTGGCAAAAGCCTTCTGAATTCACTTGAAGAATCTCCTTTTGTTCCCTCCTTAGCCCATTTGATGGCTGCAACGTCGCACTTTTAGTTCAGAATTTTAAAAATTAATAATCATAAAACCCAGCTGAAAGAGCCCATCATTTCCAGGTGTGTAAAAAAAAATAATAAAATCCCAATTCGCGTTTTTCCCCCCTTCCTTGGCTGTTTCAATTGGATGCCCTCGATTACATTTTTTTTAAACTGGCTTTCCGCAAGTGGGGGGGGGGGGG